ATGTTTTTCATTATGTTCAATATCTTATGCCAAATTCCAAAAGAAAAAAATATCGCCATGACACTCGAAATGTTATCTACACCAATTTATTGACGTTGAATGCAAAGCAGAACTATATCAACTGGGCACTGATGTTTGAAAGTATACATTATGCAACAGTTTGTATAAGAGCATATGTGTATGTTCTCGATAAGTAAAAAAAAAAAAAACATGCAATCTTGTTTCCCCGGCAACAAGAATTCTTCTGTCTGTAAGGATTAGCTAACGCAAATTACGAATTGAAAGATTCCAGACAAGCTGAACCAGAAGTCTCTGACGAGATTGTAGTTCTACTAGTTTGTACTTATGACAAACGAAGGGAAATCTAGCACTTAGACATACCTTTGCAACATGAATAAATAGAATAATAATCCTTGCCTAAGTCTCTCTTTGTGGCAAGATTTATTGAATACAGAGTAGGGTATACTGTGTTATTTTAATTTATATTAGTCATTTGATAATATAATAGCTTTACAAAAATAACTAGTTCAGTTTAAAAAGGGTATCTTTTTGTGCTTTTTATATACCATTGATTTCTTCATAGTTCCTTAACAGTACTGCGTAGACAGACGAACGAACAAGGGACACCTTACTATTGCATTAGCTCTACCGGTCTTTTACCATATCTCATTTCTAACAAAAATGAGTGAAAATATATTTGTTTCCATAGCAACCAAGATTTTTTTTTATTTCTAATGACCTTATAGTGTTTTTCATTATAAGAAGTTGCACTTGGAAAACATTAGGTGCTTCAAAGGAACTTGAACGCAACCATTAAAAGGGTTTAATTTAGAAGGAATTCATAAACAATGGATTGGGAAAAGTCTCATCTACCTAAAACCGCCGGAAAACTCTCCCTGGCAAATAACAGACTGTCGCTGGGGTTATATGCTTTTGAATTTCGCTTACCGAAAGAGTTAAATGTTAGTTTGCAGCTGTACCCACCAAGTAGAATAGACAAAGTATTTAAGATTTGCGTAGAATCAAGACGTACTTCCTTGCCCAAAACGTTTGGAAGGGTTTCATTCAGAAACAAATTCATATAAAAAAGAACAGGCAATATTTGCATTTAGATTATGAAAAGGCAAAAGATACACCTTTCGTACCTTATGTTTCGTTTTATCCATATGTGATAGTTGAAAAACAAGATTTGCTATTCATGGAAAGGTCCGATTTATAAATTGGAATCTGTAATATTTCAACAGAATTCCTGTCATACTTTTCCATATCTGGTTATAGCATTGAATTTCAGAGGCAATAATTTTGCAGAAAGCTTATCTTTGGTTTTAAATGATTAATTTTCACAAAATCAGGTAAACCTGGAATTCTTATACATATTTAATAATAATATGAAATATCTATAAAAGCAAATATCTATTCATGTCACAAATATCAAGCAATTATTGCTTCAAGGCAACCGGCTTTATAATTGGGTGTGTGAAAACATTTCAGATAAAAAATTTAACATTTCTAGATCTGTCAGTAAGAGCATACAGACTCTCACTTCCACTGGCTGTTTTGATTAGCATTTTCAAGTCTGAATTCTTAACATGTACTTATAATAACCAAAAATCGTCATTCTGGCATTTGCAAAAACACAAACTTCTTGCACTTGGTAATAACATTTTGTCCAAAGTTCAAAGGTTTCGGAAATTTTTTCTGCTTGGATGAATCTCATCATGTTCAAAATCTTCAGAAATCAGTGAATAAAATGAACAAAAAATGTTAATCATACTTGATCTGGTATATTATCATTTGTATTGGATGTACTTTGGTTGTCACACTTATTGCATGCTACCGTTGTAAAATACGTTAAATACGATATATAGCAGACAGGAAATAAAGGGGATATCACCGCCTTGAATCAAGTGGAAGCAGTGAGACTTTCCAATTCGACGCTTACATATCTAATGATGTATCATTAGTAAAAGAAGAAATGATACAAATGGCCAACTGAGATAAAGAACCGAAGTTCGCAAATAATGCTATGGAATAGTTCTAGAACTATCAGAGTTGTTCTCACAAGCTTTCTGGAATCCGACTGGCAGAACTATGATATAAATATGACAAGGATGGAAGGAGTTAAACCGAGAAAAACATTATATTTTGTACACTAAATCCTAATGCAAGATGTATGCAAGTCGAAGTATTTTCAGAGAGCTCGTTATTTTATCTAGAAGGGTTATTATTTGGAATACTCTAAGGAAAGTTTTGGACAACCAGTGTTAGACAGGAGATAAAGAAAGATCAGTTTTCTACGCTTCAAAAAAGTGTTTCCGTTAAAATAAAATCATTATCTTTGAGCTTTGACTGCGTTTATGAAATTATATCTATATATATGTGTATTATATTACTTTATAGAATTATACTCTGAATTAGCTTAAAGATATTGTTTGAAAAAAAAACATACCTACATGTACTATCAGAATTACAACGACAGTATTTCGACGTCAGTTTCATTTAATAGTGATGAGCAACTTATGTCAACGTTAAAGGTCAATTAGGGTATAAAAGTTCTAAAATATGTACGTTTTATGAAAACAATAAGCGGAGGTTTATGGTTATCTTTTTTAAAATCCAAATATAGAAGCAAAATACCTGTTCAGATATCGTAATTTCTGGAACCGAGTGATACAGTTGTCGCCCCCTTCTACAACATCATCAGAGACAATTGTTGCAGCTGATAAACTGATGTGTGGCGAGAGATTCAACGAAACCGTGGATAGTGACGGTGAACCTACTGGAGATAGACTTGAGTCCATTACAAAGCAAGCAGAATTCGGTAGGCCTTCAAGATTATATCATCAAAATTGGATTGACTGATCGCATGTATGTTGTTTAACGTCCCATTCGACCGTTATATTTACATCAATAAATACAAGTGTGTACGTGGGCTATTCAAGAATTGATAATGCGAATTAACTGTAAAGTTTACACTATATGGAGAGAATATATGGAGAGAATAGTCTTGTCTGTCAAAATCAGAAATTAAATTAAATTCATGTCACGTTAAATTATTGACAAACAAGTTGATGAAACAAGAATATCAGTAGTCTCGTTTAAAGTCATCATTTCGTAAGTTCTATGGTCGATACAATAACCTTGTCAGCAAATACAATTTATCATTGAGTCAATTGCTGACTGATGTTTTTCATACGAATTGTTAGGCCATTATTTACACACTGAATTGTCGTCGCATTTTTCTATTATTTCCCGATCATGACAAGGAGCACATGGCGGGTGTGACCGGTCGGCAGGGGATGCTCACTCCTCCGTGGCACCTGATCCCACCTCTGATGTTTCGGAGGTCCGTGTTTGCTTTGCTCCTATTTTGTATTGTTGAATTGTATTGACTTTTGAGCTTGAATACTTTTCGTTATCTCCATAAGTTTCATACACCTTGCAGCTGACGAGTTGTATGCAGTTTTCTGTTTGACGGGGCAGGACACAGGTGGAAATCAGTGGGTTTTGTATGTAGACTGAACATCAATTAGGGTAGATGTAGTATTGAAGAATACATTTTTAGAATATGATATTGCTACAGTAAATTTAATCGATCGCAATTGGTGGAAGAATTAAGCAAAGAAAACGAATGTCGCGGCATTCCATCCACTTCATCGTCAATAAAAGGCATTTAGCTAAGGGGCTTAAACGGTACGTGAAGTAAAAAGCTGCATTCAAGTCTACCTAGGAAGACATTGGCATATGTTAGGACAAATTTAGTGCCCATAGCGGTGCCATTGACTTGTAGGTAATGTAAGAAGTTAAGGGGCCTAAACGTTACCTGAAGTAACAAGCTGCGTTCAAGTCTGCCCATGAAGATATTGACTTTTCCATTTAGACTTTTCCAATAAACATGAAATTGGTAAACCTGAAAACATGTTAAAGGAATTCTTCTTCCCACACTTCTCCTCAGCCACCAATACCCTAATCGTGCGGAAGGTTTTTGTACAATGATGTAACGTCCATTCTCTGGAGGGGAATATGATCTGGAAGATCAGTGGAGAGCGTCTTGTTTATATAATCTGTGGTGTCCTTGAGATAGGATGGCAAGATAATAACAAGTTGACGGAGATGTAAATCAATATACTCACAGACCCCCCCCCCCCCCACCCGTGGGATGCGGGATGTCCATAATGCGACCTTGGATACATATCTTCTTTTGAAGCAGGTATAATTGTCCTGGTCTACATACAATAGTGTTGATAGTCCCATAGACGTTGACATCAATCTGGTCATTTTCCAACATTTCGTCAAGAGTTGTGGTGAGTTGTGGCTGAGAACTCTTTAGAAGCATTAAAGTCCAGATTCCAATGGAAAGGTTAGTCTTAGAGTTATCTCTGGGCCACTACCATGTTATTCTCTCTGTCACTGAATTTACTAATGTTTCCTTTGATAGTTCATCTATAAAATACACTGAAATAACAAAACAAGGTAATGTATTTGTTTGAATTAAATCTATATCATCTTTTTCAAATTTTCTGAATAACTGCTCAGGCATTGTATCCAACTAGGATGCTTGTATCAGGAGCTGATTGATTTGAAACTGGTGAATTGTTGGTTCGCGAGTAAAGCTTTGTCCCGAAAGTGCTATAGAATGTAAATGGTACGTGAGACAAGCAAAGCATGTTAGAAGTATCAGAATGAATATATAATAAACTATATAATAAACTTCTTACAGCGTGAAGTGTTTACTCTAGTAGCACATGCATTATACCATTTAAACTTCCTCATTCACAACCGAGCGCTTGTTTATCATTCATGGTAAAGGCAGACAAGTTAAATGAGAAAGCACTCACAGTATTACACTTGAAAGCACACAGCATGTAGGACGATTTTCGCAGCAAACTCTACAATGAATAGCAAGGCATCAATTCTTGTCTGTGTCTATGTTTATTGAGGTTTTTCAAAGTGATGCAGGTGAGAAAAATCCATGTTGGTTCAATAGCATTGAGTGTATTTGTATTCCTTATGAAATGGGAATTCGTGTGAATTGTTCAAAACGGAATCTTAGTGTTATACCAAATATGAACGACAGCATCACGTGGATAGACCTAAGTAAAAATAAGATCGAGACGATTCAGTCAAAAAGTATTAAACTGCCAGAAAAGGTGATTTATCTCGATTTATCTGAAAATAACTTAACAACTGTAAAAGGTAATCCTTTCAAACGTTTAACAAAACTTCGGTTTTTGAACCTAGAGGGAAATCAACTGGAAAATTTAATTTATGAGAAACTATTTCAATCACTCTCTCCCTTAGAAGTGCATAACATAAAGAGAAACAGCGACAAGAAAAATACTATAGTTTTTCCAGGAGACGCTTTTGCAAATCTTTCTTCTATTTCAACCATAAAAATGAATGGAATACCAAACACAAGGTTTGGGAAAAGTTTCTTGCGTTTAAGGAATCTTAAAGTTTTAGATATGTCTGGGATTGCAGGCAATTGTATTGTTGAATATATTGATTCGAAAATGTTCTCAAATTTGCGGTTCCTTGGGGTTTTGGATCTTTCCTACTGCAATGTAAATGATATTGATAAGGGATCGTTTAGTAACATGCCAAAATTAAAGCATCTTAATATTTCCTACAATCGTCAGTTAGGCTTTGCATCTATGCCTAATGTAACTTATCATTTGAACAAAACCAAAATTAAATCTCTGAATATTAATGGAGTTAATTGTATAGCGGGAGTTGGAACAGAAATAAAATGTCATCATCTTCTTTCTCTCAAATATACTAACCTTACAGAATTATATGTAGCCAGTAACCGATTGGAAATTTTAGAACCAGGAGTCGCACGCAATCTACCGAAAACATTAGAGATATTATGGTTTGCCGAAAACAAACTAACAACTGCGCTTTACGTACTAGAATTTAGTACTCTAGAAAACTTGCGAGTGTTCAACATGAGCGTCCAGAAGCATCCACCAAAGTTTCCTTATTCCATTATAGATAAATGTAAGGTGAAGAAAGAATCGTATAATGATGATTTCCACTGCCATGAAGTTGCAAATAGCCACACTTCTAAAATAATCGGCAGTGATCAGATTGTGACCTGGGATTTCCCACCAAATCTTGAAGAAATATACGCTTACTCCAGTCAAATTCATCTCAAGGTTCCAAACTTTTCAGTCTCTGCACCGAGTCTTCGGATTGTAAACATACATAATAACTTTCTGTACTCTTTCGAAGGTCCTGTTTACATTAAATCATCAAATAACCTAATAACATTGGACATTTCAAATAATTTTTGCTCCCACTTATCCCCATTATTATTCAAAGATGGTGGACAAATAAAAAAAATAAATATATCCCACAATGACATCGGCCTAGACCTGGAGAAGGATGTAATGGGGAAAACGTTTGAGCCTCTTCTTTCCCTTGAGAACTTTGACATTTCTTTCTGTAGAATTTCCAAACTTTCAAATTTAGTACTGACGAATTCTTCCAAGCTTAAGTATCTTAATGTTAGTAACAACCAAATATCAAGATGGAATGTAAAAATTGACCATATGACAAACTTATCATTAATAGACATTTCACAAAATCGGATTAGGTCAATTGACGAAAAATACCTTGTGCATTTGGAGAATGCCTTTCAGAAATCCAAGTTAATGGTAGATCTTTCTGGCAACCTTTTAGGTTGTTCCTGCGATAATCAAATATTTCTTAAATGGTTAGTGATAAACAAAGCTTATTTCCTAGATATTCAGCAATACCAGTGCTCCTTTGATAAAATATCATTTTCATTTCAAGATTTGGATAGTTCTTTTCTCTTATTAGAGAACAGCTGTAGGTCATTTCTGACTTGGTATTTAACAGGATCTGTTTCACTTGCCGTATGCATTAGCTTTTTGACAGGAATATTTCTTGTAAGAAACAGATGGAAGATTCGCTATATTGTGTACAAAACTAAACTTAAATTCCGAGCTAGGGACAGACTGAATGTACATAATTCCACAAATCTAAACTATGAATACGATGTCTTTCTATCTTACACTGGAATGGAAAGAACCTTTGTAGTAAAAGAGGCGATACCTCGACTTGAAATCAATGCTGGATTACGTCTTCTTGTTAGAGACAGGGATTATCTCCCAGGATTATCAAAGGTAAATTGTACAATGACCGGAATTCATGAAAGTAGAAAAGTCCTCTGTGTTGTTTCAAAAAGGTTTTCGAAGTCAAAGTGGCGTGACTTTGAACTGAACATGGCTAAAGTGGAGGAAATAAAGGATCGTGAAAGCACAGATTTTGTCCTTCTTATTTTGTTACCGGAAGTTTACAACAACGGCTATCCCAGTAAAGTTATGGACCTTGTAAAGAGAGACTCTTTCATTGAATATCCTGAAGAATCGTGTGCTCATGGCGACTTTTGGGAGAAACTGATTAAAATGTTAATGAACGATTAATTAGATGATTTTTGTATTGAATATTTTCTTTTTATTTTCAAAATAAATTTTTATAACTGATCTGAACATTCGCAAATGCGTCTCCAAGCGATCTTAAAGCTTCTTGAATTCAAAGTACGTATTGATTATTCCCCATTTATCCTCTTACATTGGCATCGCAATACATATATTTTTCCATGTTTATTTTAAAACATTCAAAATTAATATTTTTAGTTATTTCTCACGTACTAAGACATTCAAGATGAAAAAAATATTGACTTATTTCATGTAATGCAGAGTCGTTTATGATTTTTTTTCTTACATAAACTCTGTAATAGACATGTAAATGCCCACATTGTCCCTGGACCAACAGACATTAGATAATGCATTTTTGCTAAAGAAATTCTTTATCTCTCTCTTTTTATTCACTTATTGTGTATGTTTAATAACATCCAACCTTCCGGATAGATTTGAACAGTTCTTCGTAGAAGCACAAGATATGCTTCTTTAAAGTTCTTTATTAATGTAGTAATATCCCGCTATCACCTACATCTCCCAACCTAATTTATACTCCAAAGCATACCCAGAATACGATCAATTTTTGAGCCGTGGTAGAACACTGACAAATCATATATTGCTACATGTACAGAGATTTCAACAACCCCTTTTAGAGTAAGCATTTTGTTAATTTATTGTTGTTATAATGATATAGTTAGCAAATATATGTAGTTTATTTTGGGATATTTTTCTGACGTATTTCATACGAATTTTTAGACTTTTCTTTTTGTACTGAATGTAACTACCGATTATTTGGTTTGCCTGATCACTACCTAGGGTTCTTTGCGGGTGTGAGGGGTTTAGAGGGGGTGCTTATACCTCCTATCCACGTCACCTGAAAATGACAATTCGTGGGGTCCATGTTTTATGCAATGTTCACAAATTTGTTTTGTTTGTAATCCTTTTCTATATCACTGGTCGTTGTATTCACCTATTTCATACAGTAATTTTCACATAGTGTGCATGTAAAATCAAGTACAGTTAGAGTTTCAGTTCTTTAATCTACGTATATGGAGGCCAATTTATGTGAACATGTGATTATATAATTAAATTTACTTCTGTCAACAAATTGCACTTTGCAATACGTGGACATGGATTTATGAAGATTTTAATTCGTATACAAGAACTTCAGGTGGTGTAACATAAAACAAAAAAATTAATAATCATACTTGAGACAAACATGTATTTAAATCTGTCTTTCCGATGCCAAAATCTACCTCCTTCTTAATTTATTGTTTACCTGAATAAAATACTTGTATGAACAACAATGAGTCATAGATCTAGGGACTTTACATTCATGATGTTTGAGCACTCGAAATAATACTCTGTATCTACTATAATGTGTACAAAAGATAACCCTTCACATATATTGTGTGTTCATTCATAACTAAATTAACTTCAGTGTCGCATATTAGTGAAAATCGAGGCCACATGTCGTAGAGTGACGGCAGTCAATTGTATAGAGAGAGAGAGAGAGAGAGCACATTTTTACAACTCTTAAACTAACATAACTGCCCTAAGTGAAGTAATATTAATATAGAAAGCACAAGGAAATTTACTTTTACATGGATACCCACTTCCGCCCCAACTCGAATTTGAACAATAATGTTTAAATAAATGTATCTCATTTCCATTCTCAATGACCGTGTGGTGTATAACAGCGCCGCTAGAATTCCATCGGCATCGAAGGCAAGTTTTTTTGACTTGCCTAAGTGCCCGAGTGGTCTTGTACGCTTTCCTGTACTGCGAGGAGACAGATTCCGTAGGTCGAGAATTCAACCCCGGGTTGGAGCGGAAGTGGATATCCAGGTAAAAGTGAAATTTTTTGTGCTTTCTATATTTAATATTTCTTCACTTAGGGCAGTTATGTAAGTTTAAGAGTTGTTGTAAAAAATGTGCTTCATATATAAAATTAATTCAGTACAAATGTATCGGTTACTATCCTCGTATAAAAACTGATGTTCAAATAACTGTATCTCACTTCCATTCTCAATGACCGTGTAGTGTAGGATAGCGCCGCAAGAATTCCATCGGCATCAAAAGCAAGATTTTAGACTTGCCTGGATATCCGAGCGGTCTAGTGCGCTGGTCCTGTATTGCTAGGAGACAGATTCCGTAGGTCGTGAGTTCAACGTATTAACATATTTATATTGAAAGCCGGAAAGAAAGTTGTAAAGTTTTCTTGTATGTAACCATTAATAAGCTAATGTCAGGCAATAAAGACTGGCGATTCTGAACATTAATGACGCAATTTCTATAGATAGAGTGGATCTAGCTCATGAATTTGAGATCGTTGCCAAATTTAGCGGACCAAGACAGCCATACATATCTTTATGATAATTCTCGACAATGTTTAATAGGATATGAAATAGATACAAACGCCATTCTTAGATGATAATGTTGTCTCAGAAAAAAATAGGACTATGGGTTCTACGTTATTTCATCTTTACTGATTTTCATTATTTGAATTAATGGCAAGAAACATTAATTTTTACGTTTTCTATTCAAATGAAGACAGCCTTGTAAAAACAAATATGATCTCAGCAAAAGTATTTCTATGAAAGCAAAGTCTAACACAATTTAGATCACTAGTACCTGTTACCTTCCTCAGATAATACAATCAAGAATCATTAATTTTTTCATGCATGTCCTGGCCAGTCGTTTATTCTTTAACAATTGAATTTAATGGTTATAAGATTGTAATCCCTGAAAAATGTTGGGGGGGGGGGTTATTTTTCTCCATGCATTTTCACTTTGCTCAGGTTTTAAGTATTAATTAAAACACATGATAATATTAATTATTTGCAATTCCAAATCAACATTGTTGATCAATGAAGAAAATTATTAGTCCACTTCTTTTCCTGTTGAAAAAATGTCAAAATCAATTTATGTGTTTATTTCCTGAAACATCCTACAAAATAAGGTCCGTAAATTGGGATTCTTTTTCAATTAGTTTTTAAATACTTGACTAATTTAGGAATTTGTTAAATGTGCAACAATGGGTAACTTATGTAATTTAATTTTTAAAAAAAAAATTTTAATTTTAATTTTTTTAATTTAATTTAATTTTAATTAATTTAATTTTGTAATCTTCATATTTCATTACCTCTTTCATCCTGCTTCAACATTGTTACTCTCTCTATCTCTTTTAAATTCGTGTTTGTAAATTATTTAGGTAAAAATAAATTATAAAAGAAGGTGTTGTGCATTGTTTGTCTCCTCACTTTCCAAGCTTTCTTGTTATTCGTGTACTTGACTGTACTCATATGATAGTTAACTGTAATAAATATTGTGATCGTCAAATCTTGAAACTAGATAGTAGAACCTATGATACAGGGGTGTCTGGTACATCTGCCTCAAACTCCCAGGAGAATAAATTGATAAGTCACTTTGGAGGATTAGAAAACATCAATTTGTGGTCTTTTTTGTGCCTTAAAACTTTTAAGGCGATTTTCAAAGGTGTTAAACAAAAAACAAAATAAATAAATAAATGCAATTTATGTAATAAATGATTCTATGCTGACAACTCTACGCATTTTATTTTGTTACCTATGGGGAGCCTCAATTATTTGATTAAAGCCAATACCCGTATGTTACCCCTTAACAATACTTAATTTTGATTGGCTGAAAGATAGCGTCTCTCCTTTGTGAAACACGATACAAGCCTAGCATCACAAAAAAAAAAAAAAAAAAAAAAAAAAAAAAAAAAAATATGCGAAAGTTTTGTTTTCCCACCCTCCTCCCCTAATGGATCCCACCTTTGCCCATTATTTGATTATTGTGAGATATTAACATTTGAACTTATTTGTTAGTCCCATACATGTTACTTAGTAAATTTACTTTTTTTTCGACTGGCATGAATGTCGGTAATGGATATGTATTTTATATGGTAAATTTGCTTGTCTGTCTGTTTTTTTTTTTTTTTTTTTTTTTTTTTTTTTCGAGACAGTTTCAGAGTAATTTGTTACATATGACCATTGTATGAAGAAAAAGTAAACTTTTGAATGTTTATGTTTTGAAGCACTTGATTACATTTTGTCAGTTCTTTTGTATTTGCGTATTCGTGTGAACTCGATAACTGCATGTAGTATTAGGAATGTTTTGGTAGATATTTTTATTTGTTCCTATTACATGTTTAGATGGCAGATCAAGATTTATTAGATCACTAAAATACATTTTCAATATATATGGTGTTCATGTTGTTTGGAGGTAGAGGAAGGAGGACGCATCAATAAATAAATAAAATCCATCTACAGATATTGCTACATTTTTAATTTGTACTAAAAAGCTCTTATTGAAAATTATAAAGTAAAATTTTGACTCAAGCTATTAGCTGAAAAATAATTTACATTTCAGTTTTTATTCTTGGACGATATAAAAAGCACACAGGGATGACATTTCAGTCTTTCTGGAAGGCCATACTATTGGCTTCCTCTATTTGTATGAAAAAAGTCTAGAAAAACGCGTCGATATATTCCTTTGAAGAAGAAAGAACAATATTGATTAGACAGGTACTCAAAATCATAGTAACTCGATTGTTCATGTCCATTTACCTGTATATGGTAGTGATGTCTTGACCTAAGATTAAAATGTATAATCAATGAAAAAATATATATTGACAATGTTTGTATCGTTCTAATGCCAAAGAGGAGTTCTATAATTATTTTCAAAGTTGTATAAGTTGATTGATTGTGTTTTGTTTTACGTCCCGTTCGAGAATTTTTCAATCATATAGAGACGCCACCATTAACCGGTGAAGGGCTTAAAATTTAGACCTTTACTCTGCACTGAAGTCCATTGAGCAGTAAGGGTTCTTTATCGTGCAAACGCCTACTGTGACACAGGGCCTCGGTTTTAAGTATTCATCCGAAAGACCCGCAACTTTCACTTCAATGTGCCGAGCGCTTGGCATAGGAACAATTGCTATCTACTTTTTTATCGACTTAGGTCAGTCGCAGCTGTGA